CATGCAAGATGTAATGTGTAACTGCAACATAATTTCAAATGTAGTGGAGTATTGACCAGGTCCTCCTGTGTAGTTCTAGGCTGATCCCTCACCTTTCTCAGGATCATTGATACTCCACGAGGCGAGATCTTGCATGGAGCCCCAGTCCGAGGGAGATTGACAGTCATCTTGAATTTCTTCCATTTTCTAATAATTGCGCCAACAATAACGTACAGTATTACTTCTCACCAAGCTGTTTGCCTATTTTCCTGTAGCCCATCCCAGCCTTGTGCAGGTCTACAATTTTGTCCCTGGTGTCCTTAGACAGCTCTTTGGTCGTTCCCAGAGTGGAGAGGTTGGAGTCTGATTGATTGAGTGTGTGGACCGGTGTCTTTTATACAGGTAACAAGTTCAAACAGGTGCAATTAATACAGGTAATGAGTGGAGGATAGGAGGGCTTCTTAAAGACAAACTAACAGGTCTGTGAGAGCTAGAATTCTTGCTGGTTGGTAGGTGATCAAATACTTATTTCATGCAATAAAGTGGAAATTAATTATTTAAAAATCATACAATGTGATTTTCTGGATTTTTTTTTTGATTCTGTCTCTCACAGTTGAGGTGTACCTACGATGAAAATTACAGATCTCTCCATTCTTTGTAAGTGGGAAAACTGGAAAAATCAGCAGTGTATCAAATACTTATTTGCCCCACTGTATATATATATATTTTTTTTTTTACTAATTAAATACATAAATACAAATGTTCATTATGCATTCATTACAGTGATTTAGTCATTAATGACTGTTCTTGTTGTTTCCTCAGGGACACCTCTCATAGAGACATTATCAATCTACAGGTGGAGATGGTTCGGCAGTTCTATATTCAGCTGGTACATTTGTTTCTTTTACAGACCAAATCCATAATTAAGTAGCCTAAAAAAATGTCAAAACTATTATTACGCCCCTTTAATCTTGCCACTCGTCTTTTCCAGAATGAAATCCACGGTCTGATCGAGAAGTACTCTGTGAACGACTCACTCATCGAGGAGATAGAAAGATTGAGAGAGGAAAACAAACGACTACGAGCCAATTATTAAAGACATCCTTAGACACGTGTCTCCCATTGCAGCAATCCGTGAATACGGTCCGGAATCAGAGAGGACAGAGAGAAGCTCACATTTCTACTAGTGCCTTCCCTCTGCAGACCACCACTCACAGTTTGCTTCTCCATTTGTCATATTGGCACACACTTTTGTATTTGTTTCAGGTTATAAAGAGTGTTTTTGTAAGATTTCAATGCCTTAAAATCAAATAGCAAAGAAGAGAACACGCTTTGTTTTTTTTCTCCAAGGTGTGTGTTTTGTATGTTCTAATTAGTTTACAGGAAAAAATGCATGTATTGGCACTTAGGATGTGAAATGCGTGAATGTTGTAGAGTGAAGAAGCATCTCAGTATGAATTTTGCCTCTATAGATTGTGCTCCTTTGTAAAAATTGTCCAGATTATTTTTGCAAATCACATGCCAAAAATGAAAGGACACTGGTGATGTGTAAGAGTAGGTAGATCTATGTATTTTGCAACTCAAAAAGGTGTGTATTGGAGATTATTTGAATGCCAGTGCTTCAATAAATAACATTTGGAATCAGTTTCATATGATCTTGGCAGCACATTTGGCAACAAAAAGCAAATGACTAATTCAAAACCATTATCTGTACACTGTGCTCCTAATCCGCAATTATAAGGTGTCTTCCTATGGACTGGCCTAAATAAATTATTTCTGCATTCATGTGTAGCTGTGTTTTGTTTTCTTTCTCTTTCACTACAAGCATGGCAATATACCTTAAGATGTCTGTGGTCAGAAAGTATAAGTAATATTTTTTTAATAAATATAATGTGTTTACGTCTATGTAATAGCAATAACATACTATTTGTAACACATTATTTTCCACATACTGTACGTTATTGTTTCTCCTTTAACACGTCGATTTTTACAAAGCTCATCGGTCTGAAAAGCGAGGTGAGCTGTGATTAGCCAGCTATCCAGTGCGTTGTGATTGGCCGAATACCTCAAGCGTGTGACGGAATTGTTATTCCCCTTACCATACTGTGATGCCCTGTCAGGCCAGAGCAATGATTCAAAAACATTAAAACCCATTATAAACTAGGCATTTTTTGCATCCAGTGGGGACATAATTACTGATTATAATGATTTATACTGTCTTTTTACGCGCTGCGTTGCATCACGCCGCATAAACATAAAACCCTGTCTGCATTTGTGATTGGAGAAATTACAAACAAGCGCTACTCTACACTGCTCAAAACTCGTGTTTGAATCATCAGTGGCAAATCCTTTAAATGAAAACATACTTACAGTCTGTGAGTCAGAACAGCCGGCATTTTAGTCTACTCTTCCAGGATCAGGAAACTGCGCCATAAAATGCGCGGGACACATCTGAATATTTGGGTTGAAGTGTTCTGTAACAGTGTTGTAAATACAACTTAACCTTTGATTTCTAGTCGTGTCCTCTTTTGGAAGACCAAACAAAGTAGTTTCGCTTTCACAATGAAACACACGGCGGGCTAGAGTGAGCGTTGGCGGGCGGGCAGGCTTGAGAACTGCGCGGCCGGCGGATTCGACGAAGGAGCGTCTGGACGGGCTTGCAGCAACCACATGTGACGACCCCGGGCTGGACTCCGCTTCGTCCACGGTGAAAGCCGATCCGGCGATCCACAGCGCGAAGTTGATGTATTTCCTCAGCGACCAGCACGGATCAGCTCTAGGCATGACGAAGCGGATATCGTCCTCTTTTGGAAGGCCAAACAAAGTAGTTTCGCTTTCACAACTAAACACACAGCGCCTTCACGACATGGCGGCGGCGGCAACAATACTACAGCGAGAATAAAAGTTACGCCTTCTTTCTTTGCGTGAACATTTGGGCAGCGTTATGCAAATCTTCCCACATTGTGACGTAGACATGTGGGGAACGAGCCGTTTTAGGTAGGCGTGGCTGACTCTTAACTTAAGAATATCTCTTTGGATTTGAGACTTTAGTCTTTGCAACTTTACAGATCTTCTTTATGCACCAAGAGCTTGTAACACTCCAAAGAGAAAGAAAAAATTGAAATCGCATCATTTGACCCCTTTAAACTGTTGAGGACTTTTTAGACTTTGTGTATTCGATGACTCCTGATTGTTTTCATTGCGTGCAAAGGGCAATATGAGACATTAGCAAGTAAGTAGAAAAACAAGGCTTATCTTTGTTTTCCAGCAATATAATATAAAGCTTGGCATTATATAGTCTAGCAACTGAAGGTGTTTTTAATCGCCGTCTGCTTTGGAAAAAAGCTTCGGCTGAGTGAGCGGTAACAGGTCAGCTGGGGCTTTTATAAAATGTTGCGTATAAACCGTCCTAAATTTGTTCTAAGATAATTTCTCAAAAGTGCGATTCAGAGAAAACCAACGTGCGTACACCTCTCTTCCAGATGTGAGTGATCGCAAATGAGCTTGAAATTGTGCGCAGCTGACTTGTGTCAGATCTCCGCCATGTAAACGCCCCCTAATTAATATCATTACCATATAAAAGAGCACACGCCAATATCCGAATTTCTATGCTTGAAAATGACGAGCACAAAGAAATAAAAAACTTCACTGAGTCTGAAATTGAGGTCCTGCTAGCGGAGGTAGAGGTTCGTGCGGGGACGCTTTTTATTTAATAACGCGTAATTATTCTGTGGACAAACAATGTGTGTGGGGTTATATTTTTTCTATTGACTTCTCAAAATTACTACTTCTAGAAACAACAGAAATAACAATAACAATTATTATAAAACAATTCGTTTTCCAAAAGTAAGAATAAATTCAAGTAACATTTTCAGTCATCTTATAAAAAGTGAGCCATCCTACTTTTAAAATCACTTGCTATGACAACTAATAAAAAGTTTAGTATCACGAAATTCTTGCAAAACTTTAGAAATAACGCGTAATTATTCTGTGGACAAACAATGTGTGTGGGGTTATATTTTTTCTATTGACTTCTCAAAATTACTACTTCTAGAAACAACAGAAATAACAATAACAATTATTATAAAACAATTCGTTTTCCAAAAGTAAGAATAAATTCAAGTAACATTTTCAGTCATCTTATAAAAAGTGAGCCATCCTACTTTTAAAATCACTTGCTATGACAACTAATAAAAAGTTTAGTATCACGAAATTCTTGCAAAACTTTAGAAAACATTATTGAAAGAAAAATTGGACGTTTCATATCATAATAAAACAAATGATTACACGATTATGGTCTCCGTTCTGAAAAAAACTGCATGTGATTTGGCATTTCTTTATATTTACACAGTTTACTAATGCTGCTCATTAATGTACTGAAACAAAAATATATATAGTGTATTTTAGACAAATATAACGGATGTAAATGACAGACAAAGTTTAAGGCCGATGTCTCTATTCATTTTCACAGAAGCAAAGCAGCAGATGTTATAAATAAAAACAGTTAACAATGTTATTTAATAGAATATATTAAATTCGTTATTGCACGACATAAGCCTATTCTTTTAGGCTACAAAACAGTCGGAGATGCGTTCATGCATTTTTTCTTTCTTTCTATTTTACGCATTATAGTAGGCCATTAAATCAAGACTTCGCAAGTTCTCTTGTAAAAAAAAACACAAAAAAAACATGGAATAAACTGTGTACAGAAAGCGAGTAAAGACCTCTCAACATTAGGCTACTAAAAAGGTCAGTTTAATCTCGCAAAAACTCCCGTTAATATAAAAATCTGACTACACTACACAATTAATCTCTTACACTGCATCTTTGTTGTTTATGATGAATTCGGTGCTTGCACGTACACCGCTTTAATTATTATTATTGCAGCTTAGATGTTCAAATAGCTGCAGTACTCCGACTTTGCCTCAAAGAAGTGTGTACGCCTGCTCAGACCCTGACGTGACGGTAAGTACTTTTCCACGTCAAAGACCGTTTTTATAAATATGAACGTTGCCGTGGGTTTTATAAACGAGGCCCCTGGAGTGTAGGCCTATTGTACGCAGATTGTGGTGGGCTGAGATCAGAGTAATCACTGGGAAATGGCCAACCCACTCCGAGCAGAGCTAGTGCAACTGTACAAAACTGAGCACACTGCCCCCTTCTGCTTTGAAATGCCATGAAAACAACATTTACAATATTACATTCACTAATCTAATTTTTCTTCTTAACTGTAGCAAACCCCTCTTGTAATTTTCATGTAAACTTGAAATCAGAAATTAAAAGTTGTCCCAGGGGTTTTAATCATAGTTACTAAAAAGTTCCGAGTCAAATGACGAATTACGAAGTGTTTCTCAGTGTTTTTGTATATTGGTAAAAAATCCTGTATTTATTGTGAAATCTAAATCTAAAACAAAAATCAGTAAAAATAGAAGTCTTAATTATACTCAAGACTGAAAAAAATATGTACACACACATACGTGTATATTATATCGGTACAAGTTGAGCAAAAGATTGGTCTGATCTGCTGAGACGTTACTAGTTTTTTTTTTTTGGTTGCAAAAAAAACGTACAGAATTATCTCGAAAAATAAACCAAGCATTACTTGGTAGCACAGTATTCATTGGACTTAAAATTGACAACTAGCCCTGATCTGCCCAATATCGACTAGCTATATCAAGTCATAGTCTTCATTTATATAAAGAGAATGGACATAAAAGTATGAAAAAAATTCTGCACACATCTGTGACCCTAGGCATTAGAAATTCATAATCCTGTCTTCTGATTCTTCTGCTTGAAGTTGCTGTTTCATGGACGGGAGTATCCAAAAGGAGCTGAATATTCCAGAGACAGACTGAGGGCTGCATTTGCCAAGAATAAAGATGTGAGCGACCCCGAGAAGATCAAAGATCTCATCAGCCGAGGAGAATTTGTGGTGAAAGAGCTCGAGGCCCTCTATTACCTCCGGAAGTACAGAGCCTCAGAGCCTTGAAGAAGCGATATTACGAAACGGAGTGAATAAAATCACATGCTACATGGCATGATGCCTGACATTTACATAAACAACAGCGATAGAATGACTGTAACAGCAACATATATACATTTTTTGTCTCGGTTATAATAAAAACGGACAAAAAGTGTATATAAAGTTATTCTATTTGTAAGTCAAAAATTCAAGTTTAGCTATTGCTAACAGTGTCGTAACAGGTTTGTTGCCACTGGTGTGATACAGTCATGTCTGATATATTTTCGAAGGATCTTTCTAAATAAAACCGTGCTTGGCAGTGCTTTATGCTGGTTCCAACCTTGGACGACATTTTGCATGTAAAATCATTTAATAACACTCAAAATAAGACTCTTTAAAAATCTAACAGGGTCAAATGACCAGCTGCGAGGTAGGTTCTGAGTCCTGAAGTTGTGAGCTCAAGAAAAACCACCACACTCTGATATATCCGCTCTGCAGATTGGACATGTGGCGTTCTCCTGTAAGAAACGCAGAAAATGTTTAGCAAAATGCGACTGTGAAATGAATTATGGGATTGTGTTGTTAAAGCAAGCTAGACCTTTAGCCAGCGGTCGATGCATTTGACGTGGTAATCATGGAGACACGGAAGGATCCGGAGTCGTTCACCCACCTTGTACTCACTGAAACAGATCTGGCAACTGTAAAGAGAGTATGATTTAAATATTGCATTATGAGAAATCTCTTTTGTTGTGTCCTCTTCTGTGACTTACTCTGTCTTTCCTGCGCTGTGTGCGGGATCGTATGTTTTCACGGGCAACCGTTCGATCTCGGCCTTTGTCAGAGTGTTCTTGGCTACTACAGCACCTTGTTGCTCCTCGAACGCTAAGAGAGCCTGACAAAGCAACAGATAATATCAGAGTTACCAATTGTAATCAAGCATGTGATTTCTGTGAATTAGTATAAATCAAACCTCATAATTATTTCCCTGACTGTCATCAAACAATTCCATCTGCAAGCGAGAAGTTTGTCTGCGCCGGGAATTGCGAGTTCTGTCGGTTTGACGGCGGCCCTGTTGTCTGCCTGTTCAATCAAAACATTTTATATACATACATATACATATACATTCAGGGGCATTTCCTCCAAGGAGAAAAGGGAGGCAGTGCCTCCTCAAAAAATTGGATGAGAACAAAAATGTATAGTACAAAAATTAAACAAAGCAAATGTTACAAAATATGACAAAAATTGTATAAATCCTAAATATCATATATATATGTCCAACAGCGACAAATTCATAAATTACAGCGGGAGTCTGCATCTCTCTCGCCTCCCCTGAGCCCATTGAGTTTTAACAGACCCCCTAAAGTGTGCAGTGAGTTTGGTGGGAAGTAACTGAGAATGAATGGGGAAAGTCACATGAGAGGAGGCAATGCTTTTGTTTATGCGCAATGCAATTATTTTTGTCAAAAACAATTATTTTGGAATAAATGTAAAATGCTTAAAAACACTAAACTGCTGAGATTTATACTTGGTTTCAATAAATAGAATAGCCTATTAATTACATGATATGATTGATATATTAATTTGTTTGTGAATTGTATATAATTTATATTTTATACATAATTATGATTTTTATGCATTTTCGAAACTGATTAAAACCTGTTTTTCATTCAAATGAATGAAATCAAGACAGAATGAAATGATTTCTGTTTGAGCTGTTATATTTGGCTTATGTATGGTGACTTACGGGGTTGCTCTCCAAAGATGACCTGCTGCAGCTCTGAAAGCTCAGAGGATCCGTGTGAGAATGATGCAGAGGTGATCATTGAAGCCCAAGGAGAGATCCAGCCCAAGCCAACATATGGATCAACCTGCACAAAACCATCACTTTTTGTTGGCGTATGATCAAAGCACCATCATTCAGAGCTCCAAAGAAAAACAGCCATAAGAATAAAGCAAAAACCCAAGCTGACCATGTGGTTGTCTCTGTTTGACGATCTGCACTGTAGCCTCTGCTGCTCCATTCGCTCCTCCAAATCAAACTGTTCCTGCAAACACCAGAATAACAGAGTTAGTCACTTTTCTATTGTTCCTCAATAAGGATCAGGAGAGCGAGTTGTACCTGAAGGCTTCTGGCATACGCTTCATCCTCAGCCATATGAACGGAGCGGACCATGCTCTCAACATCATCAGCATCATCCTCAATGATGACAATGTTTTCTGGTATCTGACATACAGGTGAACGTACTGGTTCTTGCATTCTCTTTGCTGTAAACAAATGAAGCAAAAAAAAAATAATTATAGAAAAGACATTGAGCAATATCCTCCTGACATTTAAAGTCATTCACTCAAAAATTTAATTTACAAAAAATGTACTCACTCTAAGGCCATCCAAGATGCAGATGAGTTTGTTTCTTCATCAGAACAGATTTGGAGAAATTTTATTGATAGAGGACTTAAACGCCGTAAACGCCGGTTAAAATATAAAACACCTCAAATTAGGGATGCACGATATATCGGCCACCATATCGGTATCGGCCGATAAATGCTCATTTTTTCTGTTATCGGTATCGGCCTGATAAGAAAATTTGGCCGATATCTTAAAGCCGATAAATAATGCATTATTTCCTTCTTTTTTATGACTAAATTTGGTAATGGGAGAGTAAAATTATTTTTAAAACGTACACCGTTCAAACTAGGCTGCTTAGTGTTTGGGATGTGGCTTTTAATGATGAGACCTTTTTTGTAATCAGGCTCTCAAAAAATATATAACAATTTGGACATAGATTTATCGGCCAACATATCGTTATCGGCTTTCAAAAATAAAGAATAATCGGTTATCGGTATCGGCCAAAATTTTCATATCGGTGCATCCCTACCTCAAATGATGGATTTGTTTATTACAAATGCACAGCTTTTCATTCCACAATACGTTAATTGATGGACTGGAGTCGTGTGGATTATTGTGATGTTTTTATCATCTGTTTGGACTCCCATTCTGACAGCACCCATTCACTGCACAGGATCCTGAGCAACTGATGAACTGAGCAAATGATCTAATGCTAAATTTCTACAAATCTGTTCTGATGAAGAAACAAACTCATCTACAACTTGAAAGGTTTGAGTGCGAGTACATTTTCAGCAAATTTTCATTTTTGGGTGAGCTATTCTTTTAAATGTGTGGACCCTGGTTATCCGTACCTGCATCCAGCAGTGAAGCTTCATACTCTATTGCGTTTAAAGGAGAGTGTGCTGATGTACTTTTAGAGGCTTTAGATCTGGTCTTGCTATAGATGGTCTTTTTGGACCTCTGTTCCCTTCCATTGCTGGTGTTCAGTGTCTTTTGCTTAGAGGTGTGACCCATCACTAGCAGCTCATTTAAATATGCCGGATCACTACTTTGATCCAGTGCACACGTGGAAGACCCAGCTGAGGACGAAGGCTTGGAAGATGCAGAAACACGAGAAGCATAGGAGGTTGCTGGACGTGGAGACTCCAACCATGTAAAATTGGAGGATAAAAGAGACGAGGCCGTTACAAATCTGTTTGCTCCCGGTGTAACTGCAGAGTGTTCACGTAGCGTGCTTGCATTTGAGTCCTCCAGCCTGCGCCGCTTCATCGTTCTCTGGGAGCTTGGAGTGGTGCTGAGGTATTCCTGAATGTGTTCTCGTACTTCCCATTTGCTTCCATCTGAACAGGATGATGTTGCCTTAACCAAGCATAAAAAAAGCATTAAAACATTTATGAATAACAATTCCAAAAAGACAGAATTTCTTCTGAATGCAATACTAGAATTGGCATACTATGGCATGCAGTTAGCATACTGTTTACTAATTAAAAAAAAAAAAAAGTATGTGAAACACTGCTGCAGTATTATGTACTTCTAATTACATCATTTCAATTTGCAGCCATTACATTGTTTACATATTGCATGTGTAATTAAGCAGAATAAAAATAATGAAAACTAATCCAACAAAATAAAAATGCCATTTTTAATTGTAAATTATTCTTTCATTTATAAACAAACAGTTAACTGTATTTTAAATCATACATAAAATGATTATTTTGCATCTTTAATTGTAAAATTATTTTGCTAAATTGTATAAATAAATGGTTATTTTGCATTTTATATAATATATAAAATTATTTCACATTTTTAAGTGTAATTTGTTTTTAATTTGATAAATAAAGAATATTTTGCATTTTTGTAATACTTAAAATTATTATTTAGAATTTGTAATTTTAAAATAATTGTGGTAAATTGTTATTTTATATAATATATTTTTTATTTTATATAATATTTTATTATAAAATACATAAAAATGATTGTTTAGCAACTGTCATCGCAAAATATATATTTTTGCATGTTTAATGGAAAAAAATCTTACATTTTAGAAATAAATGGTTATTTGGCATATTATATAATATATAAAAATGGTTGTTTTTCATTTCATAATACTTCATTATTTCTTGTCAGCACTGGAAATGAAAGGTCAAGCCCACTGCATTGTGGGTAACAGTATTCCACAGCATGCTTTGCTGCATACTACACATTTTAGGAAATGTAGCCAGAAACCAAGTATTTGCGCACACAGAGAATTCTTGTAATGTGAATACTCCAAGCATAATACAAAAATAGAGCTGTATCATAGTATAGCATACTGCCCTTTTACTCATACCGCATTTCTGTTGTCATCTTTCTGGGAATGTTGTTTTCTTCTGTGAGTCAGGGGGCTGTAAAGTGAGGACAGATTCTTGTCATTGCTCTCATTATTATGAATTGTCTATTACATTGCAAAAAAATAATAATAATAATATAATTTTTTTTAACAAAAGAAACGCTACCTTGGGGTCTCGGGAACAAAAGTGGAGAATTCATTTGAGTGTCCACGGTCTTCAAACAGGAGGTCACTCTCATTTAATAGACAGGCATTATTCAGGGAGTCCGGAGTGTCGGGCTCCATCCGGGGACTGTACAGAGGACTGCCGGGTTCTGAGATCTCCTGGATGTCATCCATCTCTGATTATGGCTTAATGTATATATATTTTGGCTACAGCTGACAGACTGTGTGCTGATGAGTCTGGGAAGGAAAAAACAACGCAGGAAGATACTTAAAAGCCTCTTAAAACGCATTAA